CTCCCCACACCACCCTCTCCTGCTGCCCTGCCCTGCCCTGCCCTGCCCTGCACCTTCTTCCCATGCAAGGTCCACCGCCTGCTTGTCTCTTGTGCGACTGCTGAAAGCTGCGCGGGAAGCGTCAAAGTCCGGTTGCCGAGAGGTGCTGGCCCTGTAGCGACCCTTTCAGATGGCGTCGTCGGTTCTGATCTCGAGATAATCCGTTATCAGCTGCACCATCGCGCGTTGCGTCGAGTCAGGGTAGCGCGCGGGCGCTCAAAAGTCAAGAAGAAGCTTGCAATGAAGCCGCTCGCTGCAAGCGCCACATCCGCCATCGTCATTTCTTCCTAACCTTTTGCGCGCACCGCACGTCGAGACGTGCTCTCCCTCGTTTGCGATCGCCAGGCTGCGCTCGCTAGAACGCTGCGCAATTTTGGCAGTGTCACTCACAGATTGCTGCCGCATCTGCCTCTGACTTGCTACGTTGCACCTCATGAGGGTCTCCGTGAGCTCCAAGCTGCCTTTCGCGCCCCACGCTGGGCGCCGAGGATCTGTAGCGGGTTTCGAGTCACGTGTCCCCCCAAGTCCCTCTGCTCTTTGGCGGCCAGGAACCGCTGGGCTACCGCTTTGCGCATCACGTAGCTCACGCACACCGCCTCTCCGCAACCGATTCTCCTTGTCCATGCCTCCTTCTCCCCGCGAATACGATCGATCCACGCCTTCGTCATTCGCTCCGCCTACCACGACCCCCGCAACCGCCATCCTGCGCGACCTCTTTCAACACCAAGATACCGCTTTCTCACCTGAGAAGCGCGATGAGCTTCATCTGCGAGGCCTTTTGCCTCCTGCTCAACAGTCGATGGACCTGCAAATAGAACGTGCTTTGGCTCAGATACGGGAGAAGAAGACCGACCGTGAGTACTTCCTCCACGAGCACCAGTCAATCTCGTCTCGCTGACGCCCCGTTCCACAACCAGTCGGCCGATACGTTGCCCTCACCGCACTTCGCCAGACAAATGTGCGTCTCTTCTACGCACTGGTCATGGCGCACGGAGAGGAGACGCTTCCGATGATCTACACGCCGACTGTCGGCGAAGCGTGCCAAAAGTTCTCACGCATTTTCAGACAGCCCGAGGGTCTGACAATCACCATCGAGGACAAGGGAAGCGTCAAGGATGTCATCTCCAACTGGCCAGTGCCAGCCGGTGCTCCTCGTATCGCAGTCATCACTGACGGCAGCCGCATCTTGGGTTTGGGAGACTTGGGGTATGGAGGGCTGGGCATTAGCATTGGAAAGTTGTCGCTGTACGTGGCCGCAGGCGGCATTCACCCCCGTGCCACGCTGCCAATTGTCGTGGACGTCGGAACCAACAATCAGGAGCTCCTCGATGATCCACTTTACCTTGGTTTGCGCCGCAAGCGCGCCTCGGATGACGAGGTATACGCTCTTATGGATGAAGTGATGGAAGCTCTGCAGACGGCTTATCCAAATCTGATCATTCAATTCGAGGATTGGGCATCAGAGCGAGCGTTTGGCTTGTTGGAAAGGTTCCAAAACACGGCGAGGTGCTTCAACGACGATATCCAGGGCACAGGCTGTGTGATTCTGGGTGGCTTTGTAAACGCAGCTCGCCTCGGCTCTCAAGCGTCGGGCAAACCTCTTCACGATCAGCGTATTCTGTTCTTTGGTGCTGGTTCGGCAGGTGTTGGTGTCGCCAAGCAGCTCATGGCCTTCTTCACACGACAAGGTCTCACGGTCGAGGAGGCGCGACGCAAGATCTGGCTCGTGGACTCCAAGGGTCTGATCACAAAGGACCGTGGTGACAAGCTAGCAGATCACAAGGTCTACTTTGCACGAGAAGACAACGAAGGCAAGCAGTACAAGAGTCTAGACGACGTAGTGGACTATGTCAAGCCCACCGCATTGATTGGTCTGTCTACCGTACCGAAGACGTTCACTCCAGAAGTGCTGCAGAAGATGCACAAGCTCAACAAGGCACCCATCATCATGCCTCTCAGCAACCCGTCTTCCCTCAGCGAGTGTGATTTTCACACCGCCCTCGAGGCGACCGAAGGTTCTTGCATCTTTGCTTCTGGCTCGCCCTTCCCCGAAGAGGACTACAATGGAAAGCATTACATACCTGGTCAGGGCAACAATCTTTACGTCTTCCCCGCGATTGGACTCGCAGGTGAGTGCGACCGGGCAATGAGATGTCCTTGAAGGAATCACTGACATGTGCTTTGCTCTTCATTTGTCTTCCGGCCCCAGGTGCGCTGTGCAAGGCAGGCAACATCTCCGACGCTGCGATTACAGAGGCCGCCGTCGCTTTGGCAGACAGTCTGAACGACGCAGAGAAGAAGGAAGGCAGAGTGTACCCCAGTCTCAAGCGTATTCGAGAAATCAGCGCCAGCGTGGCGACGCGCGTCATTCAGCAGATGAACAAGGAAGGAGCAGCTCGTGATGGTGGATACACTGGCAGCATGGAGCCAGAGGAGCTGCACGAGTGGGTCAAGGGAGAGATGTGGGTGCCGAGCTACGAGAAGCTCGTCGCGTGATATTTTGATCGAGGCAGCAAAACGAGACTACGGTAAACAAAGCACATGCATCGGTATGATGCGAGGTTCCTTTTGATAAGCGGCTCTGTAATGAACCCCTCATTCATGATCGTGCGCCGTGTGTGATTTCGACGTACGATACTTGATGTAGAAGCACATGGACACCAGCAACGCCAGCATCAGACTTGGCGTCTGAGACTAATGAAGAAGATTCACTCCGAGTGTCTGTCCTGAAGCGGATCTCTGCACAGAGCTTGCCGTGATTTGAAAATCTGGCGCATGCCGATGCTGCTGAGGCTCGAGCTTGATGCGTGAGTGCTGGCTGCTTGGGATCAGCATCGTGAAATCAACAATCGCGAATGAAAATCGACAATCGTGAATGCCGCTTTCAAGATGCGTTGGGTTGCGCGCGGCGCGGCGGGACAATGGCTGAACAGTGTGAGTCAGTCACTGGCCAGCTGTGGTGCGGCTCAATTCACGATTCTCGATCGGTCCCTGCGGCGCGGCATCGTGGATTGGGAATTCGATCACGTATGTATTCACGATTGGATAGGATGAGCTTTGCGTGAGTCGAGAGTCACGAGTCTCGAGTCTGCTGAGTGCGAGTCTGGCGCTTCCGACGCACGACGCACGACGCACTAGTCGTGCGTGGGCGCTTGCATGCGAGTGGCTGCTGATGCGTGCCGATGACGCGCGATTTCAGATGAGATGAGATGCGGTGAGGTGCGGTGCGGTGAGGTGCGGTGCGGGGCGTGCTGCTGAGCTAGCTTGATCCATGACGTGCAAGCAAAAGTTGGGCGGGGCCTGCTCGTCGCAAACGACTTTGCAACTCACACCTCACGACCGACCTCTTTACATGCTGCTGAATACTTTATCGACAGGCCGACCAGCTCACAACTCAATACAAAGGCCGCTCTCACGCTCGCAACTCTGACCATCTTTATTGATCACGAACACAGTGCGGTCACAAGATAGCCAAGTGCTGGTCACATTGACATTACGCCTGGCCGACGACCCTGACAGAAAGCAACATGAGCGGGGCGAGCGGCTCGAGGGGAGGGGTCTATGGGTGAGTTTCTTTTCACCTCGCCTATCCGCATAGAGCGACAAGGGCTGTAGTACAGCTTGGGTCGGTGTTGCTGCGCAATAGAGAGGGCAGGCCTACAATCGAGACTCTAACGGCGGCCAAAGGGCCAA